TGGGCTGAATCTCAAAGGGAAAACCTGGAGAAGCTAAAACTTGGCTCCAACAAGGGCTACATGGTCTCTTTATGTTTTACTTTCTGCCAACACGTATTCTTTCTCTCTAAAACCTCCCATTTCTTATCAAATCTTTTGAGCTTGGCCAACTTCTGCCCCAAGAACCATTGACAAAGAGGCTCAACAAATCAACCCAACTCATCTCCCCACTCATTCGAATCCTCTGCTCACACTTTGCATTCCCAGTAAGCCTGAGGCATTCAGAGCCCCCAGCGAGTTGGATCATCAACCAGCACACTTCCTTCACCTTCTTCCTGCATCAGGTCCTCTTACAGGCTAGCCCCTAACAAGACCCACCCCTCTAGCTCAGAATAATTGCCATCATCCTGGAGAATGGCTGATGTGGAGTGGAAGCTCCTCCCACGAGGCCCTCAGCACCCACAGTATGATTCCACCATGCTTTCAAGTTCTCCCAGCCCAATATTTGTATGAGAGGAATTTGTTGCTCTGAACAATTCCAGAGGGCTGAACTTATGAGTCTGGTAGAATGCATCACCCCATTATAAACATGAAGCAATGGAAATAGACTCAGATACATTAAAGAACTTACCCAAGGCCACAGAGCTAATGGAATGATAAAGCGGAATGTAAACCTGAGTCAACACAATACTTAGCCTTGGTACTCATGCTCTGCTCTGTAGAAGCACCAGAACCTGGACCTGGAGGGGGCTCTGGAAGCCATAAAACTCAGCACATCATCCAAACACTCTTCCCAAACCCAGCATCCTCCATTGATGGCCAAGTTTACCCCTCATTAGATGGACACTTTGAGTCTTAGAAAATACACATGATCAGAAACCTCTGTCATTTAGGGGTGCCTGGGTGGCTCAGCTGGTTAAGCATCCAACTGTTGATTTCAGCTCAGGTCATGATCTAGCAGTTTGTGGGATCGATCCCTATATTTGGCTCTGTACTGAGGGCATGGCATCTGCTTGGGACTTTCCCTCTCCCTCTTTCTCTGCCCCTCTCACACTTGTACTCTGTTTCTGTTATTCTCCTTCTCTCTCAAAATAAATAAACATTAAAAAAAAACCCAGAAACTTCTGTTATTTCAAATGCAAATTTGCCTTCCCCTAAGCTCCACTCATTGGTCAGATTGGTCAAAAAAAAAGAAGAGTGTTTAACATGTAAACACACAATTGTAAATACATGCACACATGCACATTCAAAGCCTACCATGGAATTCTGATGCTTTCATTCAAACTGACAACTTAACGGTAGAGTCTTTAAGCACATTAGAGCAGGAGATTGAAGCTGGATTTCTGGAAGCTGGATTCACTCTACCATTAATTATCTATGTGGTCTGAGGCAAGCCACTAAGAGATTTATGCAATCTGAGTCACAGTTTTTTCATCTCTGAAATAAATACAAGGGCTGAGCTGCTAAAAGCTCCCAGGTCCCTCCCAGCTGCAAAACCCTGGGATTCTAAGTCAGTCTGGGTTTGCAGTTAGGCTTCAGCCCTGGGCACAGCTCCAGTTTCTAAAGCACCAAGTAAGGGGCCTTAATCAGATAACCACCAAATTTCATCAACTCACTTGCAGAAGTCCCAAAGCCAGAAAACAGCAGAGCCAGGGACTCAAGACCTCTGAGTTCTCCTGAGGATGTGAGCTCTAGCTCCATGGGGTAACATTAGCTGTGGGGCTGGCGTGGGACAGGAGGCAAACCCTTCGAGCTGAGTGTGTCTTTCAACCTCTTGTAATCTGAGTGTATGTAGTAAACATCATACAGTCATCCAGAAAACTTGTTCATCTGAAATACAAGGTGGGCAGAGGAAACAAGGACAAAAAGTCCTGAACAGCTGAAAGAGAAAAATAGGATCCTGGCACAAAGGCATGTATATGTTACTCACAGGAGAAGCTTTTCACCTTTCTCACAGAACCATTTTCTCTTTGCGTATATGAGTATTATCGCTTCTCAGAGTGGCAATTATATTTTCTAAAGATGGACACGACGCTATTGCCCATTTTACATGGTCTTCTATGATGTGACTGTGCCACTCTGCCATCAAATTGTGGAGTTCAACTCACCTCCCTTGAATGGGGCCAGCCTGGGACTTGCGTCTAACCAACAAAATAATGCTAGGTGAGTGCTTCCAGCTGGTTTCCTTGGGATGCTTACTCTGGGGAAAGCGAGCCACCATGTAAACTGTCCAACTACCCTGAGACCACCTTGCAAGGAAGGCCACATGTAGGGGGTAGGGTTGATAGTTCCAGCTATGTCTGGCCTCACAGGAACCCCCTCAAAGGCACCATCCATGTGAGTAAAGCCCTCTTAGACTCTCCAGAAGAGTCTTCTCACTAGCTGAGTATCACTGTTTGAACCCAATCAAACCACATGGAGCAGAAGAATTGCTTAGCTGAGTCCCTCTCAAATTCCTGACCTGCAGAAAATGTGAATTATAATAAAATGCTTGTTGTAAGCTGCTAAATTCCAGGGCACTTTGTTACGCAGCAATATGTGACCAGAACACTTCATCAAAAGCAGACTTGAGGTAGCAAATTAGAGAGACTGGGCTGGTGGAAGAAAATGTACAGAGAAGGGAATGGCAGCTGATGGCCCAATGACACAGGAGACAGAAAAACATGAAGACAGATGCAGAAAAAAAGAAGAGAAAAAAGAAAAGAAAAAAGAAAAACATGAAGACAGTTACAAGAACCAGAGTGCTGCGATCAGGAACCTTTAAGAGCAGACATCAAGAGTCCCCTCCACCTTACTGTGCCCAGCTGACAATGTCAGGGTGTTATCACAAAAAACAGCACATGTTCATGACAGTTTCCCTGAATCATGAAGAATGTTTAAATTTTGTTCTGAATCTTCTTTCTCTACACATGCAATGAGGGTAATACTCTAATCACCTTCCAATGTATTTCTCTCCTTGCTATCTCCAATTCTTCTGCCACTATAGCCCAAAGAAAAGGGAAGAGCAGAGCCCTCCCCAGAAAGGAGGGAAGGAAGTAGATGTGACATATTCCTTCCTGGTAGGAAGGGGAAGTAGAAGAAAAGGCTTTGGGGGCTCCAGGGTGAGAGGAGGAAAACCACAAGAGGAAGTAGGCATATTGGCATGCTCCTGGTTCTGAGTTCAAAAACTGAGTGCAAAGAGACACATGGCAGAAGGAGTGGGGGCGGGAAGGCAGCTGAGAACAGAGAAACTTTTGTTCTGCTTTCAAATTCGGTTTCCAGAGGAACCCCACTGTGGTAAAGCATGGCATCCTGACCAAGTGGGGGCGCCGATGAAGAAGGGAAGTAATGGCCTGGCATGTTCAAGGAGAGGGGTGCAAGGGTGAGTCTCCCACTAGGCTGAGTTCTTCAGTGATGGAGAAGAGAACGAGATAGTCCGTTGTGCTTTTCGTGGAGAATGGGAGGTAAACTGAGATCTGGGCTCCTATGGGGCTGCTATGATGGAGGACAGGGTGACCTAGAGTAGAGACTGCCAGTTATTCAGTCCATAAGAAGCAGTGTGCCCAATGTGGAAACACACCCCCAACAGGTGTTAAATTCCACTTACTTAAGCCCCAAGCTCTCTGCCCTCTGCTACCACAGCTTTCCTGGGGCTCCCCTGAGATCTTCATGGTCCAGCAACAGATACTACAGCATCTGTTCCAAGTGGTTGGTGCTCATCCCTGCTGGTTGTTAAATATTTCGAGTATCATCTGCACAAGTGGCCAGTCTAAGCCAGCAGAGAAACATGGCCGTGGCCAAGACACACAGAACCTATGGAGCCAGTGAGGGGCACACTGGACCCAACTTGGTCATTATCAAGGCTCTGATCCAGCTGCGAGACAAGACCATGGGTTTTCCCAGCCACAGACCTCTGCAGTAGATTCAGCAGGACACCCGATGACCAACCAGGTCCAGGGACATCTCCACGGAAACCAGTGAGGTCCTCAGGCCATGACGTGTGGACCACCACCCTCCCTATCCTGCCCTAGGGACATGGCTTCCCGATTGTCAGACTCCTTCCTGGCTAAGAGGTGACAAACTCTGAAAGCCTGAGCATCTACTCAAAAGAGACTGAATAAATCCAAGAGAAGCAGATGTGAGCCAGAAAGATGGGGATGATATGGTACTGCTAGGTTTAATTCCCCTTGCCTAATGAAAAGGGGCCTTGAGACCAAATGAGATTCTTATTAGAATAGTTATTAAGGGGTACCCAGCTGGCTCAGTTAAGCATCTGACATCAGCTCAGCTCACGATCTCATGGTTAATGAGTTTGAGCCCTGCATCAGGCTCTGTGTTGACAACTCAGCGCCTGGAGTCTGCTTCAAATACTGTGTCTCCCTCTCTCTCTGCTCCTCCCCCACTCACATTCTGTCTGTCTGTCTGTCTCTCTCTCTCTCTCTCTCTCTCCTTCTCCCTCTATCTTAAAAATAAAGAAACATTTTCAAAAGTTTAGAATAGGTATTAAAGGTACATTTTTTTGTCATCAATTTGTAGTGAGTATAAATTTTCACCATGCTACCTACATTTTAGAAATATTTCCTTCCAGAATTAAGTTGTCAAAAAACGTGAGTTTTTCTCTTTACGCATTGAAAGATCATCCTCCACTCTCTGGAAAATGTGCCCAACCAGAACAGCTTGTCCTCTGAGGGTCACATAACGTGGCAGCTTTCTCCACCTCTGTGTAAAACCAAACAATTGAAAACCCAAGCGGTTTTTATCTATACCGTGTGGGGAAACCCTTTGCCACAAGAAAGCCCACTGAAGCCTGAGGACAGCCCAGATGTACTGGGTTTTCCACAGACCCAAAAAGTCCCACCAAGAAGCCCTCTGCTGTCCTCTGTGGCTGAGGCCGAACGTTCTATTCACACACTGTCCCCTGGGACTGCTCTCAGCTTTGCAATACTCAACCCCCTTGTCAAAATGACAAGGTGAAGCTGGACGGTCTGAAATCCTGTTTCCTCCACCCTAACTGAGCAACATACTGTGGTAGATGGACGCACGCTCACCAACATCTGGAACTCTTCTACTTTCGGGTACACACAGGATTTCACTTCTCTGTACCCTTGAAGTTAGGCATAGCCACGTGACTGGTTATAGCCATGAAAAGTAAGAGAGAAGGATGTGGGTCACTAAGCGTTTCATTTCTGGTGCTTTACCCTCCAGCACACTTTCTCTGAGCCCTTGTTTATTGACGGAGGTCAAATAGGATCATCAGGTCATCCTTATGGGAGGCTGAGGTCTATCTACCTCCATCCATGGATTCACTCAATTGTTATCTGCATGTTGTTCTCCTTCTGTTAAGTAGGAGAAACACATATTTCCCACCCCAGCACTCATGTCAAAACAACCCCGCAGATGGTGTCCATGAATTTTCTTTTGAAAATGTCCTCAACTGGCTACAGTGAACTGTCCACAGCCTCACACAGCTGACCAATGCCAATGAGATAGCATGAGCAGAAGAAACTCGTGTTAAGCTACAGGGATGTTTTAGGTTATTTCTAACTTGGAATGATACGCACATCAATCAAAGAAAAGAATTAAGACATCGTATTTGTTTTCCACGGCTGCATAGAGATACCATGAACTCAGTGACTTAAAATGACGCCCATTCATTAGTCACACTGCTGTAGGTCAGATGTCTGGTCTCAGCTTGGATGATGTCTCTGCTCAGGGTCTAGCAGACTATCAAAGTTCAGGGTCCAATTCCAAGCGGTTTTTGGTATAAGTCAGTTCCTTGTGATTGTACAACTGGGGTCCCCACTTTTGTGCCGACTGTCAGCCAAGGCTACTCTCAGCAGCTAGAGGCCACCCGCTATTTCCTGCCCCATGGCCACCTCCACAAGATGACAGTTTGTTTTCTCAAGGCCAATAGAACAATATTGGATGTTGTTTCATGTGTCTCTGACCTCTTGACTCTGACCTCTAGACCTTTTTTTTTAAACAGTCCACCCGGTTGTGTCAGGCACACCCAGGAAAATTCCTTTTGATCACCTTCAAGTCAACTGATCAGGATCTTAAATTACACCTGCAAAATTCCTTCACCTTTGTGGTACAAGGTAAACCTAATCATTACATTCTTATATTCCCCCCTCATTCAGGGGAGGAGATATACAAGGGCATGGATCAGTGAGGGTTGTCTTAGGATTCTACTTACCGTAGACATTTAAAAAACATTCTGATGAATATTAGCTCTAGAAAATCCAGGACCCAGCCACAGCTTTGCATTCACTTCTTCCTTGCTCCCAAGTAAGAAAACCTTGTCCCAAATGTTCTGGAGCCTTGCTACTCAAAGTGTGGTCCATGACCAGCAGCATCACTTGTGAAGAGGGACAAAATCTCAGCCCCCACCTCAGACTCAGGCATCAGAATTATGGGCATATTAACAAGATTTCTAGGTGATTGAGAAGCACTGATCTTTAGACTGGCTCGTCCTTAAATAAAGTAGGCAGATGCCTACATGGAGTGAAAGCACAGCTTATATTAAATCCCCGTGCCCTGATCACTCCAGCCTTTCAGAGCAGTTTCTGAAATTTTGCTGTCAGAATCACATAATCTGATGATGATATTGAGGATGGTGATTCTAGCTAACATTTGCTGGACATCAATAAATGCTAAGACATGGGCAAAGTTCTTTTAATTTCCCCCCACATGTAATGAACTACATATTATTATTTTCACTTTAGACATGAAGACATTGAGGCTTACAAGAATTCCCTACTCTTCTATGGAAATACAAATTAAAGTGGTAGCGCCAGGATTTGCCACAACTCAGGGTGTATGTGATCATATTGTCAGAAGTTGTCAAAGCTAGTCCATGAACCACAAACTGGGGTCTGGGCTAATTCAACTTGTAAGTAAGCATTATTCAGCCAAAATGATGGTCTTACTTTTTACTGAATGTCTTTCCCAAGGGACAAGCTCATTCCAGTTGGCCACAAGCCCAATCACTCACAGTTGACTTACTGCCTGGACCCTGAGTACACTCAGGCCTGAAATCCCCAGTTAAGTCCACGTATTCTTAAATTTCCCCTTGACATTTCATGACAAATGTGGGTGGTATGAATACTTTCCAGAGATCCTTAACAACAGCACAGAGCCTCTGCTCCCTAACCTATCCCTGTCATCTGATGAGTGAAACTAATGTCTGGAAACTAAGGTACATGTCTAAGTCACATAGCAAGATAATACTAGATTCTAAATTGGGCTCTTTTAGCCCTGCAATCAAATACCACAATCATTTGCCTCCTTGTGTTTAGGAAATTATTTATGCTCAATATGAAACAGAGGTTCTTAACCAAAGTATGTTTCAGAAACGTTTGGATGGAGTTTAATACTGATTCTCAGACTTCTCTCCTATTCACACCACTGGTGAGTCAAATGCCCATTTATCTGAGATTCATCAGATAAATTACAAGTTCAGAATGCAGGGTTTGAAGGGAGGAATAAGAAGTCCCTGAATAGTTAATGGAAGGTGGGACAGTAAGGAGTGTAAGGGACAGAATAGGGCAGTGGATCTCAGCCTTAGATATACTTTGGAACTCCCTGGAAAGCTTTAAAATTTTTCTCTTAATGTTTATGCATTTTTGAGAGAGAGAGAGAGAGAGAGAGAGAGAGAGCGAGCAGGGGAGGTGAAAAGAGAGAAACACACAGAATCCAAAGTAAGCTCCAGGCTCTGAGCTGTCAGCACAGAGCCCAAAGCGGGGCTCGAACTCACAGACTGCAAGATCATGACCTGAGTGGAAGTCAGACACTTAACCAACTGAGCCACCCAGGCGCCCCTAGAAAGCTGTAAACACTATTAATGCCTGGATCCCAGCCCCCAACATTAATTGTACTGTAATTGGTCCCAGGTACAGACATTTTTAAAAGCTCCCCCAAGTGATTCTAACACTTGGCCAGGGGTGAGAACCACTGGAGCAGGGTCTCTGAGATGATCAAGTATTAACAGCTCCATCACAATTTTCCTTGTGGCCCCCCTGGGTTTGGCCCATCACCTGGCCATAGAAGTCTCCATATTGCTTTCATTTTTTTTTGCTGCTCTTTGCCACCCCCTGCCTCTGATAAGCAACATTCCTTCATTAGGGAAAATAAAGTTGATAGGAGCCTGAGGTCAAGTTTCAGACACTGAGATACCTACTGTCCCTGCAGTGACCATTTGCCCATCTGTTAAGTAGAATTCTCCTATTTAAGACCTCTGGCCACTAGCACTCATGTCAAACCCAGGAGGTCTCTGAGAGCTGTTTTGAAAATGGCCTCAAAAGGTTCTCATCCTGAAACAACTCTCTGGTCAGTTTGCCACTGGATGTAAAACTTCTTGTTGCTGCCTAAGGAAGTGGTTCTCAAAGTGTGGTCCCCGGACCCACAGCACCAGCATCACCTGGGAACGTCTCAGAGATGCAAGTTCTCAGACACTCTGCACACAAGTACTGAATCGGAAATCTGAGCAGACCCAGCAGTCTGTGCTTACTAAACCCCTGGGTGCTGGTGCACCCTCAAGTTTGAGAAGCACTGGCCAAAGGCACTGTCATGGCCATGTGCCCCCATACGGACAGCAGCTGACGGTAACATAAAAAGACAACTCAAAAGTTCGTCGGTTGTGTTTTTATGTGACAAGGATTCTGCTAGCCTCAGGGAGGGGAGGAGAGAAGTGGCCTGAGGGCCTTTATCACACAGTAGTTTGTCATAACAGCTGGGTTTTGAGGTCCAGAGGGAGCCAGGAGGTTGAAGGGACACCTGCTTATCAGCAAGACTTGGGAGGTGCTCCCAGGCAGCTGGGAATAAATGGAGCAGACAGTCTGCACAGCTCCTCTAACCCTATCCGAGCTTCCTGCTTGCCTTTTAGGGTAACCAAAGAGGCTAAAACATGGGAAAATGCAGTGAAAATGGACAAGACTGTAATGAGGGGTGAGAGAAGGTGCTCAGTTGTGTGTGTGGGAACACCACACTGAACCAGTCAAAGGAACCCACGGCCCTCTTGGGATGGCAGGACTCAGAAAGATGGGCCAGGGCAAGGGTGAGCTTGGTGGCGTAGGGTGAGTGTGGAGATGGGAGCAGCATCCCGATGCAGACCCCTGAGCCACGGGGAGGGCCTTGCAAGGTCAGGTCACTCAACTGTCTATTTACAGAAGAGGAAACCGAGACAGAGACAAGGCTGGACCCGGATCTCACCAGGCTAACGGCGGAGCTGGGAGCTCCTGAGGGCACTGGGCTTCCATGAGGGGCCAAGTCCTCCTGAGGTGTGGGATTCAAGAGAGATAATGCCAGAGAGCGAGGGCCAACATGTCGACAACACCCACAGGGCGCCAGGCTGCTCTGAGTGCTTCCCGTGACTCTCGTTCATTTACCCTTCCCACCACCTTGGGATCCTCCTCATCAAGGTCACTGTTTACAGATGGGGAAACTGAGGCACTAAGAGGTTAAACATAAATTGTGCAATGTGTTTAAGTATAAGTGGGGATAAAAATCAACTTTATTTTAAAAATTGTACCCAGTTTTATTATTTCACAAAAATGAAGCAAGATATAAAGGTAAGCTTAATGTTTCCTGGCTATTGATTACTGGGCAGCTGCTGGCCACTGGATAGATGATCTCTATCCAAATGGTGCTCCTTATTCACTAGAGTACAGAGTCTTTGACAGGCAGTCATGATATGGACACAGGTGTGACATCATACAGCTCGTAAGAGGCAAAGTCAGAATTCGAACACAGACCCTTTAGCCTCCTGACTCACACTTTACCACCACCATCTCCTTGCTACTCCTCCAAGACAACAAAGAGTCCTGGCGTCCAGCCAGCTCTGAAAGCCCCAGTGTCAGAAAAGTTACACCTACTTTAAAACAGAAACATGCCATGCTAGAAAGTTCCCTGAGTTTCCAAAGAAGAAAGCCTTTCAGTTCAGCGTAAGCTTGGTAGGCACAGCCTCCCCCGAGGTGATCTGTCTATAGCTATCAATTTCCTTTTATTGGATTTTGCACCATTTTTACCTGTTGCTTTGAATCGCAGAAGATCCTCAGAGACCCTCTGGTCCAGCCCTTTTTTGACAGAGAAACTGAAGCCCAGGAAGATCAAGGTCACCTTCATACAAGTGAAGGTAGAAGAGATGAGGAATGTCACCCAGAGAAGGCATCCAGAGACATCAGGAAAGCTACTTGAGGCTCCTTTCTGAAATGGAACCCAAGGATCCTGACCCCTCAGATCCCCCCCCCCACCGCCACTCCCTCTCTCTCTCTCTCTCTCTCTCCTCATTCTCTCTCTCTCAAAAGCCTCTTACCTGCAGCCCTGCATTCTTTGACCTTGTAGCTTCTCGCCTGGGGAAGGTTGCCAGGCCTGACTTTACCTTCAGCAGAAACTCAGCAGGCAGGCAGAGATTTATATCCTCGTCCTCCAGGGATTTCCTAATAGGGCTTGTGTCACTCTCTCTGACTGAGTGGCTGTAGACACACCTTTTCCCTCCTCACAGGGGAGCACCCTCTGGCCTATGGCTCTGGGTGCGTGATCACTCAGATGGGGAAGTGGCCAAGGAAACTGTGCGTAAGTTTCCCTACTTTTTTGTGACTCGCTAAAACTTACGTACTTCCAGCTGAGAGGTGGTTTTAAAGTGATGGGTATTCTGCCTGACCATGGCTCCATCAAAGAGAAAAGGAGGTCTTCTAGTCTTTAGCCTGTGAGATAATTGATGTCTGCCCCCATGGAGCCCTTCTGGGATAGAAAGAGAATTAAGCTTTGAGTGCCCTGTGTCCCAGTCTTATATGATTTTTAATTGTTAAGGGAAGGAAGGGGGTGACTTCCCAAATCTTTATTACAATTTGTGGAATTTGCTGAACTGAATAGTTTGTCCACTGGAAATGGAAATGCGATCCTGAGTCACGTCTGTACAAACAAATGTCTCCTAACTCCCCCTAACAGGCCCAAAGGTTATGTTGATAGTTCTTCTGTCCCCCTCACAAGCCACCAGGAGTTAGAGAGGAGGGAGCCACATGGGGGGGGGGGGGGAGTGGAGGAAGGGAGGCAGTAAGCCTGACCAGTGGCTGCCACAGGAGCTTTCCCAGAGCTCACTGGGTCCTGTGGCAAATCCTCAGATGTACAGAGCCCCTGACACATTCACTGCCTTGCTGTTGGCCCAGAAGGGCTTATGAGCACCTACCCCATTTCCCCCACACCCCTGGGTCCAGTGCCCTCCTTGATATGAACACACATCCATGTGGGAAAGGATAAAAATCTTGCTAGGACCAAGGCATGGGGCCGGGACATGAACCCTTTGGATCCCTAAGACCTCCTATTGGGCCAAATTGCATAGTGTAGACAGAGTGTCATATAGATCCCCCTGATGGTGGGTGGAAACGAATATTTATCCAAATGTCCTTAAAAATCCATGTAACTAACCTTAATGACACTTTCCATCCAATTTACTCAGATACTGAGGTTCTTACAGGTGAAAAGGCAGATAGAGAAATGCTTATAGAGAAGTTTTAGGACTTTTATATCCAGAACAAATGGCTCGAAGTTAAAAAGGCTCATGGCCCTTGTTTTATCTTTTGGCTAACAAGGAAAATAACTCTCAGGGAATCACAGCTCAGACTGGGAAAACAAACTCTGAGAAGAATACAATGGTTGACCTAGATGGAAACTTAGAGATGGTTGCAAATCCAGGTCCAGGCACGTAGGGAGACCACAAGTGAGGAAGCTGTATTAATTTATGTAACTTCATGATGATACGCCCAAAGTGAAGTTTGTTGGGCAAAGTGTAAAGGTTACACTGTATCCATGTTTATTCTTTCTCCAGCTACCAGTTGAAGGGGGAGCATTCGGTTTTGTTCTACAATCTGGACATGGTTGGATTGAAGTGTCATCTATAAATTTTGGGTCAAGCCACGCAATTTCAAGGGTGTGAATTCACCCAGGCAGGGAAATCTCCCTAAATACCTCATCATCCCAGGATGAAGGGTATGCAAATAACTGAGTACTGTCCTCACTCTCTCTGTGGTCAACCAAACACACCAGCCCCAGCTAACCTTGCCTTGGCTGGGATCCTGTTTGCTACATAGCAGAGGGAATTCCAAAGCTTAATATAGCCAAATAGAAGAAGTGAAAACTGTGGTAAGGACCCCTCCCTAAAGAGAGAGAAAAAGAGGAGAGAAGGCGTCAAAGTCACCTAGATATGCACCCAGGTGCCTACATCCCCCATGGCCTTGTAAACTGAGGCAACTTAATCAGACTGCATGTTTATGTGTGTTACCATATACAGGAGACAAAGAAATAGAAAATGCATTAAAAAAACCATGCCATGTGATGTGGGCCGCTCATTCTTTGGGTACAAACCCAACTGAGCTGTGTGGGCATGAATAAAGTTGCTTCCTGGAAAGAAAAGCCTCAGTGTCATGACTCTCTGTGCAAGAATCCTGCAACAAAACCATGCAGTCTGCTTTAGGCCAAGTATAACTGCTGATCTTGTGATCCATAAAGAGGAATTTACATAATCTCACTTCTTCAATGGGAAAGTGCGATCACGGAGCCACAAGAATTGCTTGAATAGCCCTCTCAAGAACTAATGCCTTAGACCCAATCGTCACTGAAAGTACAGATGGAAAATGGTTACCCTGTTTATATCCCTCCATTTCCCACTCATGGTCTACACTGTCCCCTCCTCACTATCACTAGAGTGTTTGGTTCAATTTCTCCACCAACTGATGGGAAATGGACAAGGCACAGAATGTTCTATAGTATCTCGAAATCCTCTGAGGTTTGAGGTGAAAGTCACCCAGGATGTTTATTGCAAGGATTGAAGCAATGAGTCTTCATTTTTTGAACCCAGCCCTTTCCAAAGTCTGTTTTAGGTCAGAAATCAACAGCATCTTCTGAAAACCTCTGTGGTAAGCTTCCAACCTTCACTGTGATGTAGAGGCCAGAGGGTAGAGAATGGAGAGGAGGGAGTTTGGAGGAGCAAAGAATCTGTCTTGGTCACTATGTCATGGATTATAGCAGAAACAATTTGTCCCTGGTTTGATGGGACTGTCAAATTATCCTCATAAATTCACTTGTTCTTATCCTTAATTTGGATTCAAGAAAATACGGTCAGCAAGCCCATAGGGTCATTGAACATTCCAAGGCCTGCTCTGGTCAGCAGGCCAATAACAGAAAAATACTCTTGTGTCTTATTTATAGAGGCAAGAGAAAGGTCTTCCCGTCCCCATACGTAAGGAACAAACTAACAAACTAAAATATTGACTGCAAATGGGCTTCCGACTCATCTGTGAAAAGAGGTAAATGAGTTCTGTATCAGTTTCCTGTTGCTACTGTAACAAATTACCACAAACAGTGGCCCCATACAACACCAATTAATTCTCTTACAGTTCTGGAGGCCGGACGTGTGACATGGGTCTTGGCAGGGCGGAGCTCCTTCTGAAGGCTCTTTCTAGGCCCTTCTAGAGGAGGTTGCCCTCACTTGTTCACTGAAGCCTCCAGCACACTTCCCTTCCCCCCATGCTCCCACCACCACGTGACCCTCTTCTTTGTGTTCCTTGCTCCCTCTTATGAGGACCCTGGTGGTTATATTTGGGGCCCACTCAAATAAACCAGGATAATCTCCCCACCTGAGGATTCTTACCATAATCTCATCTGTAAAATCCCTTTTGCCATAGAAGGCAACATAATCATAGGTTCCAGGAATTGGGACGTGGGCACGTTCAGGGGACCATTGTTCAGCCATGCACAAGCTCAAAGATCGCTTCCAGTTTTGTTTCGTTTTGTTTTTATACTCACAGTAAAGGCAATCTATGGAACTCATTTGGAGATAAAACTTCAAAATCTCCCTCCCCGGCCTTTTGTGACTGTAAGTCTCAGGTCAAACGGCCTTCCTGGCCACTGTCACTCCCACCCCAATCACAGTCCACCCTAAAATAGCCCTGGTTTCTATAATGGCCTCTAGTTTCCACACAGCTCTTTTTTCTGAGTCATGAGAACTTTCTCTGCCTTCGAATAATCTCTCAGTAACGTATAGAAAATGTTGCTTTGTTCAGCTGACACACTTCTGAAAAGCAGTGACGGCACCTGAGTCATCCTGCAGGGCCCCAGGGGCACCCATCGCCTTCTCATCCATGTATCATGTTATATAATCCACAGCCTCACAGTGACCCCACCTGCATGGTGACACGTTGGGCCTCTGACAGGCACACACACCTCAGGCAGAGCCCTGACCCTCCAGCACACTCATCACCCCCGGGGGCAGGTAGTCACGGGCAGGCTCAGCACTCAGGCTCAGCAGGCTTCGGCAGCTGGAACGACGGCCTCCATTGAAGTTAGTCACAAGGGAGAATCCACACTCCTCAGCATCCTGTCATGGGCTGGCACTCGGGCGTCCCCAGGAAGTGACACCCACAGTGGGTACACGCACTGCTTCCTCCAGCCCTACCGAAGCCATCGCCTCTGCCCCCTGGAGCCAGTGGGCAGCCAGTGACCTCAAGATGCTGCAGCTAGCCTTGGTGCACAAATTGTGACCAACGGACACACTGAACAGGGAGAAAGTGGTGACAGTCACATCCCCTAACTTGGCCTGGGAGAGGTTGAGCTTAGAGGCAAGGGCCAGTGACACACCAATATGTATTTTATGGACTAGACAGTGTTTTTAGAGCAACTTTAGAATGAATCCGCAGGGAACTCCATTCCTATGACTGCCCAGCTCAGAGCCTGCCATTCCCCTGTATTAACCCTGGCTTTTAGTAACGATGTCTGTATCCTGAGGCTCTGACGTCCAGGCCTTGCCAAGCCCTCAAGGGCTAGTCAACTCCTAGAGGCGGCACATGACTCGGTCCCAAGCACACCTCTCAGGCATGCACCAGTCAGTGCATGCCCATGCTGCAGCCACCTCCAATGTGTCCACTTCTATGAGCTTGGTCCCCGTTTGGGGGGTCCACTTCCCCTTCAGATCAAACACCTTTTGAAGCATTCCAGTCACCTCGGGGTTGAAAAGAGTAGATTTAAAAAAATTGTTTTCTGCACCCTGTCAGGGATATCCCAGAGCTCAGCAAAGGGCAAGCCAGTGTAGAGGGCAAAGCAAGTGCGTCAGTAGGGGAAGGAAGAACCAGCACAGCAGGGAAGGGGAGCAGAGAGCCTTGCATCAGCAAGAGCCATGCCTGGGGTAACAGTTCTCAAAGTATTGCCCAGACCAAAAGCAGCAGCATGTCCTGGGAGCCTGGTAGAAATGGCATTCTGAGCCCTCACCCCAGACTACTAAATCAGAAATAGGGAGGGACCCGGCAACTGGTGCTTACCAGCCCCCCACAGGATTCTGATGCTAACGATTTCTTCTCTTTCCTTTCCTTTCAATTTTTACTTATTTTTATTTTTTTAATGTTTATTTATCTTTGAGAGAGAGAAGACAAAGTGTGAGTGGGGGAGGGGCAGAGAGAGATGGAGACACAGAATCCGAAGCTGGCTCCAGGCTCTGAGCTC